TTTTATGATCAGACCCAAATCTATTTTCTGTAAAATTTCAAGATGCAGGAAAAGGAAGCCTTACAAATCTATATGGTGTGTCAGAGGAATTAAGCTCCAGAAAGGTGAAGTAACTCAACTTCTGCCTTACCTTCCTTTGCTTCACAAGCACCTCCTGGTGTTTAAACATATGAAACCTGGAAGAAGCAATTGCCACTATTTCCTCACGGCATCCAATGGTAGAATAAAAAACTGCAGTCTGGACTCGCTTATTATCTGAAAATTTTAAATGCATTTCACTGTAGTTTGTAATTAAAATAGAGCCATAGTGAAAACCTCCCTTCCCAATGGCATGCTTGAGTGCTGAAATATTTCAATCACTCTAGTCATTGTCCATTGCATTCATTGGACAACAGTAGTCCAAACTCAGCTTTCTAATTCTAGAGGTTGGCAAACATGGACAATATCTCTGTTGTTCACTGGGGATGGGAATGCTAGCTTCAGAGAGACCAGCCTGAACAGCATCTGCCGCTCCATTAAATGCTGATTCTGTGCTCAGTCATCTCATGATTTATTTGCCTGGACTTCTTTGCCAAACTAGTAGGGTACATCAGAGTGGGGCTTGAGACCAAGTTTTCCTGCTCAAAACCTCCCTCGGGAGCTCAAAAGTACAGAAATAATGACCTGATGATTTAGCAAGGTCAGTGGCTAATGTGTAAATTCTAGGTTGTGACTGTCCTGAGAACTGGACTGTAAAACATTGCACAGTATAAGTCATAAAGAAGCCATAGTGTGTCAGTCTACTGTGGTAATGGATTTAGGTATAGAAGAATGACTTTTGTTAGTATGTATTGCTTTTCTAAATAAAATCTGAGCATGTCCCTCTAGTATTTTTAGATCAAATAGAGAATTTTTACATTTCCTTTTTTTTCTTTCCTTTTTTTTTTTTTTTTTTTTTTGTACTGGGGATTGAATCACAGCCTCACAATTGCCAGGCAGGCACTTGCACAACTGAGCTAAATCCCCTGGCCTTCCTTTTTTTTTTTCCTTATGGACACAGCAGTGATAGTTTATAGCCTCATAGAAAAGCCTTGTGCTCATTAACTCATATGTTCATAAAGCTATTGAAATAGAGTATTCCTAGGTGGTTAAATCATAAATGCAGATGGTTTAAGTGGATGGTGGCTGGGGATTCAGAGACGCAAAATGAAAGTGAATATCCTAGAGCAATGTGAAATGGCCTTAGGAAGACTGACCTGAGCATCAAAAAGACAGGAAACTGGATGTGGTGGAATGTGCCTGTAATCCCGGCACTCAGGAGGCTCAGGTAGGAGGACTGCAATGAGTTTGAGGCCAACCTGGGCTGCAAGATGCCCCACCCCAACCCCGCCCAAAAGGAGAGATCATGGCAGGCCTTCTCAAGGCTAATGTTGATGGTAGCAGCATCTACTCCGGAGGACAGCAGAGGTCCTTATGATGAGTATATCCTCTAGGGGCTGCAGTGAGGGTGATTGGAGGGAGGGGGCAAGGAGATGAGGGATCACGGAGCTCGAGGGCAGAGCAGCAGCTTCCCCTGCAGAACACTTCTGCAGTGTGATTTTGGGTATCATTTCACAAGTCCCACTTCTGAGCAGGGTCCTGCAGCTCTCCTGGTGATTTTGGGTGAACCACTCCCAATGTTTTTAAATAAGTCCTGTGCTTAAATCAGCCCGTCAATTTCTGTTATCAGAAGCTAAGATCCTAGCTCATATGGGTATTCTGGTCAGGAAGCAATGACTTGACCCCGGGCTGCTGGACTATAGAACGCATAATCTCAAGCCCCTTGTGTACCACATGTACCATGGATCAGTCATCACACCGAACACCAGACTACAGGCAACTTGTTGTCAATGACCATGTTGATTATTGTCCAAATGGAACATTTTTGATAAAGAAAAAGTCTTGTAATTATAATAATGTCAGAACTGTCCTGGGTAAAACAAATGATCTTCGTGCTTACATATCCTACTGAAGAATTGAGGCTTTTTGAATGCCACTGAGGTTAATGAGATCCTGCAGGAATTATGTGTATAGTTTAAGTCTCAGAGCTAAAGGTCACACTCACTTGATTCTATATCAGTTCTGCAAGTGTGATGATTGATTCTGTGTACCAGCTCCACAGGGTTAAGGGATGTCTAGATAGCTGCTAGCACATTTCTGTCATGTCTGTCTGTGAGAATACTTCTGGAAGTAAATATCATTGAAGTAAATATCATTTGGATCAGTAGGAAGAGTAAGGGAAATTCTCCCTTACCAGCGTGTGTGGTGAACATGATAACCACCACACTACGGAAACTCAGTGGACTGGCGCTACCCAGGCCTTTGAGGGTCCTGAATAGAACAAAAGCATAGAGAAAGGTCAAACTTGTTCTCTCTTCTTGAGCTGGGACATCCATCTTCTCCTGCCTCAGACTTCACACTCTACGTCTTGGGCCCCAGATTCTGATAATTACACCTGTGTCATGTTTCCTTTACCCTCCTTTTTTGTTAGGTCTTTATTCTCAGACCGAATTCCACCACTGACCTTCCTGATTCTCTGGCTTCTAGATGGTGGACTGAACTTTTCAGTTTCCGTAATTGCATGAGTCAAATGCCATAATAAATCTCTTACATAATATGTACTTTGGGGTTTCTGTTTCCCTGGAGAATCTTAACTAATATGCCAAGATAAAGTCAGCCAAGTCCATTCTGTTAAACACATTTAATTTCTTTACCAGCAAATATTACAGACCTATTTAAAAACCTCATTTAAGAAAGTTAATAATGTCTGAAATTAAGCATGTAAGCAGAACTGTTCTAGATTTTGCTTGTCAGAAACACTAATTTTAAGAAGAAAAAGGTTTTAAAGTACTGCATTCTGATCAGTAACTGAGGAGATGCCTGAATGTTAGTAGTGCCATGGACATCCACAGGGTGGAAGCATACAAAACCATCTTACTCTCTTAGCTGCAGGCAGTCTGGTCCTTGAGAAAGACGTTGTGATTGTTGACAAATACACATGATAAGTTGCAAGAGTAGGGTGAAGGTTCAGTGGAAGAAGTCAGACCAGGACCCTCCCAGAGGCTGTCAACAGTCCTGTTTGTTTAAGCATCTGAGAAATCTCAGGCCTGGGGACTTGGGCTATATGAAAGAAGGCTTGAGCCTGGAACTGAGTGAAAATGCTCTGGCAGAATACCGAGTGTGGAATACAGAGGGAGCACAGAGGGGGGAGACTCCTTGGGGAGGAAAGACCTCCTGTAACAGCCCTCTGAGTAGCGGGGCCGGGGAAAGCCTGGAGGAAAAGTGAAAAACCTAATGTGCTGCCTAACCTGATCTCTCTTTGGGACCCACAAAGGTTTAGCATAGACCACAAAAAGTCACACAGTGAAGCTCTGTGAGAGTAAAATGTCTAGTGCTCTGTGACTTGAGTCTTGGATGATGTGTGACAAAGGTGTAGTTGATACATTCAGATGAAAGGATGACTGACTGGGACTTCTAATCCTGATTAACACAGGGGGCTCTTCAGTCACTGGCAACCCAGGCTATTTCCTACTCTGTGTGTGTATGTGTGTGTGTATGGTGCTGGGGGTGGAACCCAGAGCCTGGAATATACTCAGCAGGTACTCTTCTGCTGGATTGTATCCCCAATCTTATTTCTAGTTTTTGTTTTCAGAATCACTAAACTGTAGCTCTTGTGGTTATGCTCCACAATAGAATTTAATCTAATATTTCCACAACTCAAGAAGTTGGTGAAGGAAGGAAAGAAGTGAAGACCATATATCATAATTGTTTCTTTCTTTTTTTTTTTTTTTTAATCGGTACCAGGAATCGAACTCACAACTGCCTGCTTGCAAGGCAGGCACTTATGCCACTGAGCTAAATACCCAGCCCCATTGCAAGTGTTTTTTAAGGAGGCTTTTGGAAACTTTCAAGTAATCTGTCCTTTTATACCACATTGGCCTGAACTTAGTCCCTTGTCTATGTCTAGCTGCAAAGGTGACTAGAACATGCAGTGAGATTCCTGATGACTTGTGCTCACATAACTGTAGACACTCTAAAGGAGCGAGTGTTTCCTGGGGTAACTAGCACTTTCTGCCCCAGCAGACGTGTGTGATGTGTGATTAGTCAGTTAATACAGGGAAAAGACTAGATGGAGCTCACTTTTCCTAGGTTTCCTGCTGCCAGTTGTCTGCTATACTTTTCACTATATTTTCTTATATTGTCCACTGAATAGCATGTATATCTTTACCATGGGCAGATGCTTCTTTGGTGACTCACTAGATTTTCTTGAATTATCATTTTCCTTTTCCATGTGTGAGCCATTCTTGGTGATACATGTGATGCTGTCTGTGAATCCTCTTGTTCTGCTTAATACCACACAGTAGAACAGTTTTAAGTCACAACAGATGAGAGATTTGGAGCTCAGGAGGGTTCCTTAGGCACGTAAGAATGTGCAGAGAAAGCAAGGAAGCAAGAAAGAATTGGTGCTGCTTATGGAGGAATTCACAAGATAATCAGAGGAAGCTGTACTTGGCAGAGACTGAGATGAGATCCTTGAGTATGTGGAAGCGGGTGAAATACGGGAATATAAAGGGAAATCTTAGTGCTTGGGTGATCTCTTGTGTAATATACTGTCAGGAGGGAAAAAATATTTATGATTACTGTGCTATACACAGCTCCAGAATAAAGATGGGAGCTTTATCAACAGGGCACGGTAACCATGGCTTCCAATTTGCTTTTCCTTTGTGCATTATGTGAACTAGAAAGTGCAACTGATGACTCAACATTTGCAGGTAACTGACATTCATCCTACTTAATACCATTTTTGAAGTCCAAAAGGGACAATTTAAAACCAATAACTTCTTAGCCCTTTTATAAGACCCAGCCCTCTGATTTCATATCACCATAAAGAGAACATACACAAAATGTTACCCAATATGTTTTGTCTCTTGGATGAGAATTATTAATAGATACTTATTTTGGCTTTGTATGCCTTTCTTCAGGAATAAGAAGTGTGGATCTGACTTCTGGCTCTAGGGTGAAACCTCTTCAGCTGGTTGCTGCTCCCATTGTGGTAAGGACAGGGAATCACTCAGGTTTTTTGTTTTGTTTTGTTTTGTTTTTTGTCTTTTTCCTTTTTATCGGTACCAGGGATCGAACTCACGACTGCCTGCTTGCAAGGCAGGCGCTTATGCCACTGAGCTAAATCCCCAGCCCCAAGTCACTCAGGTTTACATCAGGGTGACAGACGTAGCAGGAGTGTTATGGAGGAAAGAATTCATTATAAAATTGTGGGAGAAGCTGGGGAAGTAAAGGCCTGAAAAGAGGAACTGAAAGATGAGAGAAAAGTTGCTAATTTGCCCAGGGCAGCAATTTTGAACTTGCAGGAGACTCCGAAGGCCAGACACACCCAGGTGCCAAGTAGGACTATGAAGGGAAACTGGCTGAAAGCCATTATTTCTGTATAATTATTGCTTCGGAAAATCTGTGGCCAAGAATCTGGCTATGGGCTGTGGGATGCTATTGATCAGTAGGTTTAGCTGTTGGAGAAAGTTACACATAGAACAAGAAAGAATGAAGACAAGCCACACCTTTCTGCCTGTCACTTTTAGAGAATAATGGCCATTGCTTTGCACCTGCTTCCAAATCCTGCACAGATCCCCTTTTTGGCCCACTCTACCTGAGAACCACAAGGGAGTCCTGGCCAATGTAGTTCAAGCTGAACCAAACTGTCACAGTACACACTGCCACAGTAAAATAGTCAAAAGTGGGAAAATCATAGCTTATGCATTAAAAATGTTTTCTATTACATCTTGTCATCTTCAGAGTAGTTGCCTCTACTCTTAGACTTGATACTGTCAAGCATACCAAAGATATCCATACTGGTTTTGATTATTAACTGCTTTCAAGTCCTACAATGTCTTCAAAGTTGTGTTTTTATAAAAATAGCTATGTAATACTATGCTTAACTATATTAAGCCTGTTGATGTGGACAAGTCTATTGAAAATAACAAGAGAAAGCATAGTAACTATAGTAGATCACCTAATATTGTGGTCTTATGTGTCTTTTTCATTGCATGTTTTTCTAGGAATTTGTTTTGTTGCCTTGTTATCTATTTTTCCCTATAATACAGAGAGGATAGATATACATGTAGAAATTCACACATGGGAAGAATTTTTTATACTATTTTTGGAAACATTATATAATGCACAATGTAATGAACAGATACTCTGAAGAAGAGACACTGAGAAACCCAATGCTAATTCTGTAGCATTATGATATAAAATCTAGCAATACTATTAATTTGCTGCTCAGAGTGATATTAGTCTAGCCTCTTAAGTTCAATTTCCCCATACATAAAGATAAGGACAGCTACTATGAAGAGAATGAGAGACATTATAGTAGTCATTATTGACTTCCCCAATATCAGGTCTTGAAAACCTAAAAAGCCTTCATCATCCTGTAATGATTTGATTAGTTCTGTAATATGAAGTATGTACTCAATGTATATGAAGATGGGGACAACTATTTGGAAGAAAACTAGAGACAATAAGATAGACAGTGAAGATCTCCAGTGGACTTGCTTTGAAATCTGTATTTCTTTACATTGTTTCTTTATGAACTGTTTTATTCTGTTTTGGTACGTTTAATCTTACCCTCTTTAAGATAAAAAACAAGTGTGTAGGACTGATAACCATATTACTAAGTTTTTGATAGATTATTGAGCAGAACTGTTGGCAGTGTCACTATTTGAATATCACTTTATATGTTTTAGTTTTGTAACCTGAACAATTATTTCTAAGATGACAATATGTAACTTATCAACTAGTGATTTCTTACTGTTTATTTTTCTGTAATTCTGTATTATTTCTACCCTTCTTTTCTGTTTTTTCTTGTTGTTGTTTTCTAGTACTGAGTCCCCAGTTTACGGGACTCACATGCTTACATGTACAAAATGGAAAAAGTCATAGCAAACTGACCAAGTGCAAAAAAATCATGTGATGGTTTACATTCTGTAAGTATGGGATAGCTACATAATTTTGTCCTTAAAATTTCCACTGTAGATATAGTTTTGGTTTCTAGTAGCTACAGGAGGAAAAAAAATGTCCAGGAGAATAAGGTGAATCAGTGAATTCTTTCCTGAGTTTGACAGAGTATCAAGAACAGAGTGCTGCTATCTGTGGACGACAAAACATTCCACGCTGTTTACAAAGGTGATTTATCCAGGAACAATCTCACTAATAGTTTCACACTTGGTGCTTATTAATGCTCATTACAGATTATTTCCCTTAGCTGCATTAAACTTTAATCTCAGCTGTTTTCTGGCACATTAGCACAGTATGGCAGACCACCAAAGAAGGCTAGTTACAATGTTATGCAAAAAATAATTTGGTCAGTGGAGTGGATGGATTGAAAAACAAGCATTAGGTTGGCAGCTCCAAAAAGAAGCCTGTCTTGTCTTGTTTTTCAGGGAATTTATATAACATTGGAGAGAATATAGAAGACTTTCAGCTACAACACTCTGTTTCTGCTCAGGCTCAAACAAGGATGGAGGCAGCAATAAGCAGTATATCTTCATTCAGTACGTTCCACTAGCTATGCTCAGGGCTGGCCCAGGTTGAAACCAAGGAGGAGGACTCATTCCTTCCTTGCTGCTCTCTTCCCACTCACTTTTATATTTTAGACACTCCCTGTCCTGGTGCTATGTGTCCTCCTTAGGCCTTTGGTTGCCCAGCGTTGTTTGTTCCCAGGCCACTGGCTTTGATTGGCCAGTGCTTTGTGTTTCAGACTTTCCATTTTCTCTGCCTCTGGGTAAGTGTTCCTTTGAGACCTTCTTTCAGCTAATGGCACAATACTACTAATGGATCCAAAAAAGACTCAGCAAGAATAACTTTAATGGTAGCAATGGGGTGTGCCTGCATTCCCAGATTACTCTGCAGGTTCCAAATTGGGTATTCTGATAGGGAGATAATTTGGGCAAGGCTTTGGCAGTTTTCATTGATCATCTACTTCACCTACATGTAGGGAAAATCACAGATGTCAATGTCTATTTTGTTAATAATTAATGTGACTGATGGCTACAGATTGCTCAAAATCAAGGTCATAAATGTTTTGCTTCTGTTGGTGCTTGATAAATGGTTGTTGACTGAAGTAATCATTCAATGGTCTTTGTCTAAAAATTTATGAAGTTACAGAGACAGGTGAGCACTGGCATTCCAGCATGGAGGAGTAGAAGCTCCAGAAGAGAAGCAATTAGGAGGCAAGATGGATACATATTAAGATGGGCAGAATTCATAGCACACACATCTGAGGCTATAGGCAGCCTTGTCAGTAGATAAGATCTCATAAAATTTGGAAAAGGAGGTGAACCATTGTTGAAGTCAGCATGGGAAATGATACACAAGGCCCAAGTCTACACATGCCAGGTAAAACAATTGACCGAGATCAACTCAGTCAGTGCTGGGAACAGGTTAGCAGCATTCATAGTAATATAACATTTCCTGGAGGCTCTTGATTCTCTCAGGAGCCTTTCACAGGTCCTGCATGGAAGGACCTGTGAAACTTCCTCATAGGAAGTTTAGATTCTACTAAGTGACATAGGACACTTTGAAGCATTTTCTGCTGGTAAGGCATGTGTGGTGATTGGCATGATTCACTTCATACCGAAAACATCCTGCTTCTTTCACTGAACTATCCATGGGGATATCCATGGGGGTCTAAAATTGATGTCCTAGGGTCTGCTCAGAGTTTCACTTACAAGAAGACTTCAGAAATGGTGGTCTTTGATTAATTGCATTAACCATACAGCATAGTGGAACAAGAAATAGACTTGAAGTAAATCATGGTTTTGTTAATTGGCCAACTCTAACTTTGGGCTATGTATAACCTTTCTGTACTTCAGTTTCCTTATTGATAAGGTAGAGGACTGATGATCCTGTCTACGCCCTAGCATCCTTAAGAAGGTCAAATCAGATTATACTTGTAAAGTGCAAAGTCAGCTCAAAAACACTACATAAATAAAACATGCTTGTGTGCATAATTATACTTGGATTTTTTTATTTATTAAAGTATCTTTAGAGAGAATAATTATCTAAAAAGAATTTTCTGATAAGCCTGCTTGGGTAAAAAATTGAGATTCCAAAGACTCCAAAGATTACAATGTTTCAGGGGAAGAAAAATATGCAAATGAGATGTTTTGTTTCTTTGCTTAGATTTTGCATCTGCAGAGAGTGGGAGAAATAAAGTGAATGAGCAAAACATGACTAGAAATATGAGAGATTACTGTCTCTGGTTACTTTTCTGAATCCATATAGAGTCATGATCCTTCTACTAAGAATATTTATTTGCTTATTTATTTGGGGGGTTCAGGGGATTGAACCCAGTGCCTTCACACACCCTAAGCCTCATTTCATTTTGAGACAGTCTTTCTAAGTCAGTAAATTGCCCAGGCTGGACTCAAAATTTCTATCCTTGTACCTCAGCCTCCCCAGAGGGCTGAAATTATAAGTATATATTATCATGCCCAGGTAACTAAGGAATTTTAAAGCACTATTTGGGAAATAAATTCTGTACTTTTATTCATTCTTTACAAGAATGTGTTGGCATACATAAGGAATTTCAGGTAACAATAGTGGTGTGGGTTGGTACAACTACAGCCAGAAAGGACCCTCAGGGTTAAAACATGGAGGGACACGCTTGGCCAGAGATGGCTGTGAGTAGGCTGTTCAAGCAGAGTTGCTGTGGGTGCTCCCTGTGGCTGAAAAGATGAGGGGAGTCCTTGCTATCAGGAGGAGAGACTGAGTGACTCAGGATGAGAGTCATGAACCAGAGTCTACTAAGGAGAATGTAACAACTTATGAGACCATAAATTAAAAAATGAATCAACTTCAGGGGTAGAAAAGAATGTACTTGAATGTGGACAAATTTATACTAGACCTCATACTGTGTGCTCTTGACCTGATAAAAATCATCTTTAAATGTTGAATTCTATGGCATTAAATATGTCTCCATTGTTGTACAACTGTCACCAATACCTGTCTCCAAGAACTTTTTTTTCTTTCCAAACTGAAACT